GCTGGAGGAATATTTTATGTTTTTAATAGTGGAAAGCCATTAAATGCACTCGTATTTGCTTATTTGTTTATGTTAATGTGCTTTGGCAGGCACCTTCCAGTTCTCCTTCAAGCAATAACGACAGTAACAGAAACAAAAGTGCAAATTTCTTTAGACGTAAGTATGCTTTCTTTCTTGCATTTAATGGCTTTCCACTATTAAAAACATAAAATATTCCTCCAGCCTTCCCAGCCTTTTCACAATTCTAATGTGAATTTGATTTTTTTAATGATAACATCCTGAGTTTTTAAATTAACTATTTTGTAAAGGGTTGTTGATTTATTTATTTGATTTATTTATTTGATTTATAAGGAAAAAACGGAATATCAATAGCACCCAAAATTGTGCTATTCCACCCAGACAGTTAAAGCCTTTCTTTAAGTTTAACCAATTTTTGAATGGAAGTTGTTATTAGAATTCTAAAAATAAGTAAGATGACTTTGAGTTGTGGAAATAGTGCAGAGAAATACTAGCACACTATCTGATCCAATATCCTTTTTGGGGTTTCATTCCAGCACCAGTTGATCGAAGCAAAAAACCACCAATGGATCGACCTGGGCCAACCTTTGAGAGAGAAAGCCTTGGAACTGGTGAGCATGTATTCATAACCATCATTTTTAAATTCTGGCCTTCATTCAGGTCAGATTTATTAATTGCCTGAAAAAGAGAGGGCACTGGACAAATATATGGTGCAGATTATTAGAAAATAGAATAGGAGTGAGATGAAATGTATAGCTTCAGAAGAACACAATGGACAAGCAATAGCAAGATTTTTTTTTTCAACCGAGGTATAATTCTGATGAGTCTACCGGAAGATTGTTAGGAATATCAGAGGTTTTTGTAGTGCATGATTCAAACCAGAGAAAAATTAGATAAAGGTCAGAAAGCAAATTTAGACTGGGCTTATAATGCTGAAGATAAAAAGTGTTATGTCTTTGCAAGAACATTTTAATGAGACTCCATAATTTTGTTTTCAACAATGAAGAGTTTAGTTGATTGATCTATCAAATAAAAGAACAAGAAACACACCATGCTTAAGGCACGTTTAATGGACTTTTAACATTAAAGCAGTTTCTCAAAGGGCACTTTCCTTTCTTTGGCATTCCATAAAGAGAACACTTCTATCTGCAATATCAACTTTCTTTACATTTAAAAATGAAGTCAAGTTAGTGCAAATTTGCAAGTATGGCTTTAAAATGTTCTTATTGCCTTTCTGGAGAATATTGTATCATACATACACAAACGCACACACACACTCAAAAAGGAAAGATTGTATTAAGATAATGTACTTGTCTCAGACTGGCCAAATTTCAGTTTTATTTACTCCTACATTATCATCAATGTGAAACATATGATGTGAAACAGTTATACAGAGTGTTTGTGCAGGGTGGCAGTCCCATTCACAAAAAATAAAATGTGAACAGGGATGTCAAACAGAAACATCCCTGTTGCAGAAACAGTAGACTACACTAAAGGTTCCATTCTCAATGCTGTGCCTTTGAGTTATCCTGATTTCAAGTCCACCACTCAATTGTTGCTTACAATGAGAAATTCCTTTAAGAGATTTTCTTTTTAAGGCCTAGTTAGGAATGCAACATGCAAGTTGTCCACAGAGCAAGATGGGAGTGCTCTACAGCTAAGTAAAGCANTGGACTTTCCAGTTCCAGTTGCCTCTTGAAAAAGCATCTTTGGGACAACCATGACCTAGCAGACTGAGAATCTTCACAGACATATGTATGTGCACAATTGCTGTATCCAAACAGTTTGGCCTAACTCTAAATCTAACAGGAAGAAACAGGTACAAACCTCCTATTTCTGGAGGATCAGGCACTGCTTTTCTATTGCAGTGCTGTATCTGTAGAAAAGTCTTCTTGTGGAGATCAGGTTTGTGGCTGCTTTTGAAAAGCTCCTAAAGTCCAGGATGTTTTAGAGAGCTTTTCCCTAATTGATTTTGACATTGCTATCATTTTATTCTATTTTTTATATTGCAGCACTATACTGTTTTTATTTTTATGTTGTTTGAATTGTGATGTTTTTATTTTTATGTTGGATGTTTTTTTATATATCTTTCCCCCCTATGGAAGACATTAAGAGTCATGTTTATTGTGGAAATGTAGAAATACGTTTTAAGAATACCTATCTCACTCAATAAAAAGAGCTGAACATATTATGTAAATGTCCTTGCTTTTGTTAGACAGACCTGCAACAGAGAGAAGTAAAACATCACTCCAGCCTCCTGTTCCCCCACAGAGGCCTGCCCACAGCCCGATACCAGGATCATCTCGAAGCAGAGTCCCGGGGGTATGTTTCTTTGAAGTTCAAATAGATTTTTTTCCATATTTATTTGAAGGATGAAAGCTACCTACTTCGGTGGCATGAAGAAATGGTGTATAGGAATGTACGCATGTCTGTATAATTTTCCTCACAACGTTTAATTAAACTGTCTTGAATTGTTTGCTTTAAGTATGCTTTAGGTATATTCCACATCTTGGAGTTGAAGAGGCATTCTTCACGAAAAGTATTCTGAAGTACAAATACATCCAACCTTGGTTAATCTTGAAAAATAAAACAGGATTAGGCTAATATTTGGATGAGAAACCAGCTAGGACATAGTCTAGATTAGGAGACTGGAGACTAAAACATATGAACAATGGTTACAGGAATTGGGAATGGCTAGTTTAGTGAAGAGAAGGACCAGGGGAGACATGATAGCAGTGTTCCAATATTTGAGGGGCTGCCATAGAGAGGAGGGATCAAGCTATTTTACAAAGCACCTGAAGGCCAGGCAAGGAATAATGGATGGAAACTGAACAAGGAGGCATTCATTCTAGAAACAAGTAGAAATTTTCTGACAGTGACAACAATCAACCAATGAAACAGCTTGCNTGGTGATGCAGAACAGACATAACACAGGCAGGATAGGGATTGTCATTGTAAATTTTTGGGGTAAAAAATAGAATTTTTTTTTGCCTGCATTTTGTCTGCCAATATAAAAGATAGATATATAATATTTTAAATAATCTTTGAGGGATTAACTGCAACATTCTAAGAATATGGGAGGCAAGAACAACAAGGCAAGACATTTTCCTGCCTGAGGTAAAGACAAGTTAGCATTCTCTCTGTCCCGTGTACAGATAATGAACAAAAAGGCAGTTCAATCTTTGTTTCTGTCTCTCACTCCCACCCAACAAGAACAAACTAATGATGGGATGCAGGCCATATAGCCTGATATGCACAATTGTGTTTTCTGCTTCATTAACACTAATCCATTCACTCAAGTTACTATTCCTTCAGACACTTCCTTCTAGAACCGTCTTCCTGGCAATGCAATTGAGTTGGAGATGACATGGTCTGTTTTTGTTTTTTTAATGCAAGATAGTGAGTTCTTCTGAAGCCATGCTCTTAATTTATATGTTCTCCTAAGAGGTGTAGTAAGAGTGCCATGATCATAATTAAGTAGGAAACACATAAATATAATACTCATTCTTGAACTGATAAATCATTGATAATTGTGCTAACAGTTAGGTCAAAACAGGAACTACTGAATGACTCAAAGATTTTTGCCATCCTAGTGAGCAAATACTACTTATTTATGTACTTCCTGCTGTATGAATTGTGAAATTGTATTTTTTTTTAAAATCAACTGAGCTTATATCATTTCATCATTTTTACAATCCATTTTTTGCACATATTACTGCTTCAGTTAAGGATGATTCGGGTATACATTTTCATCACTCAATATCCACAATACAATATAAGCAGGATCTCCACTAGTGACTTAAAACATTTTTAGTATTATTTAAACATGATTATGCTGATATAACAGAGGAACCTTAACACTGACTTAACAATGACAAGGTGAAACCAAAAGATGCTGTAAGTCATTGATGGAGAAAATGGCCATAACCTCATACATGAAATGTCAAAAGAGAGCTCTTGAAATTTCACGCTCTATCATTTTCAGTGGAATACATTCAAATATTCAACTGAGACAAATAACATTGTGGAGGGATTATCATGACCTATCAGATAATATATACATGACTTTATTAGCTCTGGTTCCTCTACTAAGCTCTGCTAACTATGCATTAATGGTTAACTGGGGTTAGGGTTATTCCAAACTTTGATGTTTATATTCTTCTGTGTATTAAGAAATATATTATTTTCACTGTTATTCCACAGAATATAAACCAGAGGAGGGTGATGGCTGGTCCTCCTTTGTAAGTATATTTTGAGGCAAGAGTTGCATTTGTTTTAAAGAACATCCAGGCAAAAAATAAAGTTGGTTAACTGAAAATGTATATTAATTAAATTTAATTTACAAATTAATTTAGCATGATTGTTCCGCATATATAGAAAAAAAATAACCAATTTCTGTAACTATGAAAATGATGATGGTTTCTCAGTGGTAAATTTTGATGAAGCTCTAGATAGACATAGATTGTGCACTTAAATCTTAGTTTTAAATAACCACAATAGATATGATTGAAAGAAATGGAATTGTAGCAAACATGACAAGACTGCCACTGCACGTTTTGTTTTACTTTGCTAACAGTTTGGGGTTGAACCTACTATTAAAAAGTGACAATGTGTATATTGTAATATTGTTTTTAATCTTTGTAAGCCATTCTGAATTCTGCATGAATCCATGAATGAACAGTCATATAAATTAAAATCTATATACTGTATTTTTCGAAGTATAAGACACATCTCTTTCCCTCAAAAAAGAGGATGAAAATCTGGGTATGTCTTATACACTGAATGTCAGCGTTCCAAATATCATGCAGACAGAGTTCAAAGCAACACTCCTGGCATCCAGTTGAAAGTTCATGATCTTTCAACTGGGTGGAATCCCAGGAAGCTTTTATATTTGGGATATAAAATATANTTGGGGCTGCACTTCTATCACCGGCTAGAAGAGATTCTCTTGGATCAATCAGGGACTTTGCGGTATCCCTGAGATCAGCAAGTTGTACTCTTCCCTATCACCATCTCTTCAGGATGGTTTAGGTCCAGATGGACCACCCAGTGATAAAAGTATTGGCTGCGATCTCGGAGCTCCGAGATCGCATGTCCGTATTGTCGCAATGTCAGCTCCTTTCTCCATCTCTTGTCTTTCTGACATGATCCAGCTGTGTCTAAAGCTCCTAAGGTACTATTAGCATTAGAATTTGCCTTACATTACTCTAAAACTACATTTTTTAAATAGAGGTATTGTAAATATTCATTGCTTGCAAGAATTCTAGAATAAAGGATTTCAATAAAGGCAATTTCTGGTTTACATATAATGAAGATTGCAAAAAAAAAGGGACAGCAAAACTTAACTTCTTGATAACGCTACTGTTCACATAGCTGTAAATTAAGAGGGTACTATATCAGAATTCATCGGTTTATCCTAATCAGTCTTTGTTTTCATTATAGCATTCCCTCAAGTGCATCATTACCACCACGTCTTCTGCCAAGTATGTATTTTAGAACTATTTTATGAATGTTGAGCTTGCATTTTGAGATAATCTACAGATACTGAAATCTAGTATTTCATTAAATCTTATCACTTGGCGAACCATAAAATATTTGTATTAATACAAATGTATAAAGCATCAATGACAAATAAAGACATGAAATTGAAAGAGAAATGTAAAATTTACCCAACAACTTTCACTATTCTTTTTTGTAGTTTCCCATACTTGCCAATCAGGCACAACTTCATGTATTGCCTTTTGTTCTAGATTTGTAGAAAAAAAATCTAGATTTGTTTGTAGATTTGTAATTATATCTAGTGATATAATGTCAAAGAGATGGGGATACATATAACATGAATATGTATATATGTACATATACATACATGACAATAAATATGGGTATTAAATATATGAGAAATTAAGGTGACCCTTTAAAATAGGGGGGGGGCATTTTACATATATAAAGAGTGATGAATCATAATGTAGAGTAATATAAATAAGGAGATGCACATGTACCAGTGGAAGCCAAGATCAACAAATAATCTATCCTGTACTATATAACTAGTTAGCACTGTACATGATTTATCGCAGATCATTATCTACTATCTTTGCTGCCTCCACTCTGCTAGCACCAGATAGAGGAGTAACATCTGTAAATACATTACAGTGAAAGAGAATATCTGTGGTGGATTTTACAATTGAAAAATTTGGGGATTTTTTCCATCTCTAGAAAGCTATCAATGTATTTGTGAGTAAAAGTTTGTGGGTGATGTAGTCTGCTTTTAATCAATTTGTATACTGGATTTACAGCAAAACAGCATTAATCTAAATCTTGGTGTCAATATAAAGTACATCTGGTTCATTCAAAATAGATTCCTTAACTATATTTCACTGTGAATTCAGTGGACTAACTTTAATTTCTAAACACATTTAATGTTTCTGAAGGTCATATCTCCAGAACCTTTTCCAAAACCACAGCAGATGGCAGACCACCATTACCAATTCCCAATAAACCAAATGCAGAATTTCCTAAAGCTGATAATGAAAGAGTGGAACAAAGTCATAAGGTATACAAAAGTTAAATACTGGAACATGTAAGTGATTTATTCAATAGAATCTCAGACCCAGCTGATACATATGAAATCAAGGGAGCAATCTATGACATGAGATGTTACGTAAGGTAAGTTGAGGTCAATGATTGAAGTCAACAATAAAGACCAGCAGGAAGATATCTGCTTTTATTATTTAAATAAAATAAAAAGATGAAAACTTGTGAAGAAACTTGTCATATGATCTCCTCTACATAAAGCAGAAGCTTTTTAATAATATCTGTGGCCTGCAGAAGTGGGAACTAGATCTGTAAGAGAGCCCTATTTAAGCCACACGTCAAAATATGCCTTCTCCCAAAAGCACATTCCCATCGATTCACATATTCACTATCATGATTGGTAGATAGGTTCTTACTCCAGAAGCAAACACACCAGATTTAACTTATCATTTTTACTTGAAATCAAGATACCATCATTGATTGGGGGTGAAGTGGGGATTAACACACAGGCAAAGGGAATCAGCAATGGAGGAAGGAAATTCCATGTTGGTATAGAATTATAGCAATCCAAAAATAACTGAATATTTTAATTTAGTAATTAGCTAACAGATTTGATAAACTTCAAGTAGTCACTGGTATTAGAAAAGGAGAAAAGCTAATACAGTTAAGAATGATTTGACCCTGTCTAATCGTGACAAATAAATTTGGACTACACAAGAGAATACACAATCCAAACTCAGGTCAAACTAAGATCCCTCTTGGTTTAAACTACAAGTTTTTAAACATAGATT